TGCACTACAGTTACTCTCCAAAGGCTTGATTGTAAAGCCAGGTTTTCACTTTCCTTCTGAAGGCCAGGAGGGAGAGGGCTGATCTAATTTCTTTGGGGAAGGAATTCAAAAACCACTCTCCCCACTTTAACCACCATAACTCAGTGATGGAGGAGCCCCCGGTGGCGCAGTGGGTTAAACCCCTGTGCCGGCAGGACTGAAGACCAACAGGTTGCAGGTTTGAATCCGGGGAGAGGTGGATGAGCTCCCTCTATCAGCCCCAGCTCCTCATGTGGGGACATGAGAGAAGCCTCCCACAAGGATGATAAAGCATCAAAAAATCATCCAGGCACCCCCTGGGCAACTTCCTTGCAGACGGCCAATTCTCTCACATCAGAAGCAACTTGCAGTTTCTCAGGTCGCTCCTGACACGACCAAAAAAAATTGTGATGGAATCATTGAAGTTATAGTTTGGTGAAACACCAGCAGTCTCTGGATGAAGAGGTTCAAGACTTTGTTATTAGCATTAAGCCATAGTAATTAAAATGATTGCAAATTACATTAATCTATAGTATAGATGGACTCCAAGTTTATCTGACATATGGCAATTTATTATAGGGATTTCTTGGCTAGATTTATGTAGAGATTTGGTAGAGAAGGCTAAACACCTTGTGAAACTATAACTCCAACTCCCTGAATTCCATAACATTAAGCTATTTTCTGTCAGTTGGCTAGCACAGTAATCTCTCTCTGTGTGCCTTCAAGTAACCAATTGACCTATGATGAACCCATGGATTTCAAGGGGTTTTTTGAAGCAAGAAATATTGGTCAAAAACTTTTTCCACTTTGGAACTCATATTGAGGAACCATTCAAAAAATTCTCACCCTACAGTTTGAATAATGATCAATAATTTTGTAATGAATAGATTGGAATTGACATGGTCATTTAACAATGTGAAAATCTCAAATTGGAGAAATGTTGGCAAATCCTTGCAAATATATGTAAGTAGTAATAGGACTAACAAAAACCCATAGTTAAGTTTGGTGAACTCAGATTCTTAGCTTGGGCAGGTACCTTAAGCTAAGCTTATTGTTTTTCTTATGCATTTAACTCCAGGTGCTGTAAAATTAACTAAATCTACTTGATTCTGAAAGTGGACCAAGTAAGGTCTCAAATGTATTCTTACAGAATGGAAGATAATGGCAACTTGTTGGTTTCACATTGTTGAGAAAAATCTTGATTTATTAATTGCAGGTGATATATATATAAATTGCTTATTTATTTAAATCAACAATAATTTTTTGTATCATTTTGGCTCTTTTCTTCGATCACTTTTTATGTAATTCTTGAAAATATAAAATGCTTGTTTCTTCAAAACATTGCTGTCTCAATCTCCAGGAACATTAGATAGGCCTGCCATAGCACCTTGACTTGAAAATATGAATTCAAGTTGTGGAAATTGTATTATTAAACTAGTTGTGATTTTAGGATGCTCTGTATGCTTATGTGCATACTTTGTATCTTCAAAAGTTTGTTCTCAACCAAGTATTCAGTCCTGTTCTTCCAAAATTCAGTAACTAAATATATAGTGTTATCTAGTAGCATCTCTAAGTGATTGAGATAAGAAAGTTGTAGCACAAGCACTCATAGATTTAAGTTTAGTGTCAACCCTCCATATTTGCTGGAGTTCGGGGTGCAGGACCAACCCCTATAAATATGGGAAAAGTTGAGTAAAAATTGGTTTTTTTACCTGAGAGAATGCCTCTCTCAGAATCTCTAGGTTTCCAGCATGACTGTGGGCCCTTCCACACAGCCATATAACCCAGAATATTAAGGCAGATAATCCACAATATCTGCTTTGAATTGAGTTATCAGAGTCTACACTGCCATATAATCCAGTTGAATGTGGATTTTATACAGGTGTGTGGAAGGGGGCTGAGATCAACTTCCACCATAGAATCACACTGGAGGTCATTGAGAGGGAGGTGGGTGTGAAGGATGGGAGAGGGAAAATTAGGAAGACTCTGAGAAGGAAGGGGAGGAGAAAGACTGGAAAGACTGGGAGGAGATGCCTTTGAATATTTTGGTAAAGAGACTGCGATAAAAGAACTATTGTGAGTATCTTGACTAGTTTCCTGTTTTTGTTTGAAGAGTCTTAAAACTGTGCTTACATTACGCAAACTTTCGACATGAATGTCAGAACTAATGCAGTTCCTCTCTTAATGGAAGTGGGCCAACTTGCCACACAGCCTGTTTAGCAAGCCTTATAAAAGCTTGTTTTTTATCAGTAAATGTTTTATTTTTGTAACCTGGGATGCAACATCAAATTGAACATTAGAGCAATGGTGGATCAAATACTGTGGAAGCTCTACTTAAGAGTGTCTCAACTTAAGAGCATTTTGATTTAAGACCTGTCGCTCAGCCTTCATTTTGACATCAGAGTAGCATTTTTAGTTAAGTGGTAGCGCCAGAGAGAGCATTAGTGCCAGAGTACAGTGTTCCCTCACTTATCCTGGGTGGTCCATTCCAGAACCACCTGCGATACGTAAAAATCTGTGAAGTAGGGATGCTCTGCCCACTCAGTGCCAGCCTCCTCCTCCTCACTGCCCCCACTGGTCCCGGCCTCGGAGGCCCCTTGGGCACTGTTGATGGCACTGCCAGGCTGGGCTGAGGCCTCCGAGGAAGGAGCGGGGAGGCAGCGAGGAGGAGGAGGCCACTGTCAATGAGTCTGGAGACAATCCCCAGGGTAAGGTCCAGCGCCTGGCTCCCCCTCCCCTCCTCTTCTTCCTCCTCCTCTTTCCTCTTCTTCTCCCCTCCCCCCCCAATGGCTCCGGGGGGGGGGGGGGGGGAACGTGAAACAGCAAGTCCGCAGTGAGTGAACTATGAAATAGCAAGGGAACACTGTACAGGCCTTTAGGGCTTCAAGCCACACCGAGTCCCTTGGGGAGATGGTAGCGGGGTACAAATAAAGTTTTTTTTTAATTATTATTATTATTATTATTATTATTATTATTATTATTATTATTCAAGGGAGCATCCTTGTGCTGTTGTCTGATTTTGGAGATTGCTGTCTGCTTTGCTCTTGTCTGCTATGAGGAACTTTGAGTTAGTTCATTTTGTAGTTTTAATCTTAGTATGTTTGACTTCATGAAGAGAGGGAGGGAGGCTGGAATCAGTACAGTATGAAGAAAGTGATGCTTCTGCCTCTTCACTTTGTGCTTCCTTTCCACAACTTTGTGCTTCTCCTGTTTTAAAGTTGATCTTTCTTTTTTATTCCATATGAATATGCAGGTTTTGTCTTGCTCTTACACTGGACAACACACATTTTGTTACCTCGAATGTACTTCCTTGTGCCACAGTTTTGTGCTTCTACCATTTTAAAGTTGATATTTCTTTTTTATTGTTCCATATTAATGTGCATTTATATATTATTTGTTATTTATAAAGTACATTTTTATTTAAAAATATATAAAAATGAGAGGGGGGGGGGGTTGGTATCCCAGAATGGATTAACAGCATTTCAGTGCATTTCAAAGGGGCAAATTTGCTTTGAGGTAACAGCATTTTGAGTTAAGAGCTTGATCACGGAACAAATTAAACTCTTAATCAAGATATCACTGTACATATCTTAGAGAGAGCTCTGTAGGGAAAGTTTACATTAAGATGGCTATTGATAGCATCCAAATAGAATCTAAAGTCAGTGGTCCATTCTTGCTCATTTTTGGTTCTTACTGTTAAACGGAATCATGTTACTGTTGATATTAGGGATAATGTATAATACAAATATGTTCCATAGTTTACATAAACATTTTTGGTGTAGTACACTATATTTGTGTTGCATTTTCCTTTGTTTCCTTCATGGATGATCCTAGATTCCAATATTACAGGAAAGGGGGAAAAAGTTTAGAAAATATCTATTTAGTTTAATTTAACCAGGCAGTAAGGCACAGGAAGAATAAGGTTAGAGCAGGCACGGACAAACTTTGGTCCTCCAGGAGTTTTGGACTTCAACTCACAGAAATCCCAGCCAGCTTACTGGCTATAAGGAATTTTGGGAGTTGAACTCCAAAACTCCTGGAAGGCCGAAGTTTGCCCATACCTAGGTTAGAGTGTGTGGTCAATTTTGTCTTCTATTACTGCTAATGTGTGGTTTAGCAAGCTCAGAGCTGAGTATGTGAGCTGAAGCAATATGGAGAGATCCGAAGACCTGGTGTCATTGTTTTTATAAAGGTGTAATCAATAAATAATTTAGAAAAGGTAAGCATTTCTACATGTATTTTGATTTTTATGTAGACTATTGTAACTTTGTTCCCTTTGTGAGGTTGGGCTTAGAAATTACTTTGTATATTTTTGTGTGTATTGTATGTTTATTATAAAAATAAACTTTGTGGGAGAAAAGCAACTGTTTTGGAAAGTAGTGTTCTATTCTTAGCCAAATTAACTGACAAATAAAACAAAATATTTTAGGATTTACTGTTCCTTGTTACCTGGAAACAGAAAATGTTTTTTTCTCTTGCTATGGTAACAGGAAAATGTGAGTGTACAATAAACCAATAACTTGGAGTTCCGCCACACAATAGATGGGAAATCTATTTTTTTGCTGAAGTAGTATTGAATCTCTTAAAATTTCCAGCCTCCAGTTTGAATTGTAGCTTAATTCTTTATCTTCTTTCTTCATCTTTCCTTGTACGTGGAAAATTACTTTGGAATAAAGCTTTTATTTGGTACTTTAGAAACTCTTAAGGTTTATTTATGTCATAGGAAAAGAAAACTATCAAATTTAAGAAAAAAATGTTTATTTTCCAATGTAATTAAATAACTTATGACAAGCCATGCTATTTTTTCATGTGTGCTTAACATATATCTGGTCACAGTCCATGATTTGCAAACATTTGCTAAGCCAGGAAAACAACTTCTAATTTGATCACTGTTTTTTAAACTACTATTGCTCTCCATTGCTGCTATATCTGAATTCATGAACTTTGGATAGGCCATGCTAATAGATGTTGCTCTGTTTCAGAAAACTGAAGCTCTATGGAAATGGAATTTGCTGTGCTTAAGAAAGTATGAAGCAAGATGATATGTAGATGGAAAATAAAAGGAGACAAACAGCTCTAAAATATGATTTGGGAATTGTACACCTCGAAGCACAAACTAGTGTATGTCATGGTTTGATCTGATTCTTAGTGGCTTCAGTAATATGTAATGACAAACCATGGCTTCGTTTTGTGTGCAAAAGCCTCAGTCTTACAGGTTCTCTTTACCTACATTCATCCATAATCAGCATCATCATTAATGATCCTCACTTCTTTTAACAAACTGTAGATTACTCTGTTTGTATATCTCCCATCTTAAACATAAAGGGTAACGGCATAGAATGAATAGTTGAAAGACAGGAAGATCGTGAGTCTGAGGATTAAGCACATAAAGCTGGTCTACTGTAACAAGTGAACTGGACTGTTATTCTGATTGAATTTATGGTAATCTGCTCCACAAATTCAAATTACGCAGGACAATGAATTTTTGTATAATTTGTGAGGCTTTTCAGATGAGGTATGTGAAAAGAAGACCCTCTTTTTTGAAGAAGTGGCTTTTAAAAAATAAACCACATATTTCCCCTTTTTGTGCTGTGATATTTATAGACACAGAGCCATGATTCTTTGACACATTGAATATGTTGTACACACTACCTGACAGATAATGTGTCTGTTTCTCTGTTCTACTTGTGTTTACATCTCATTCAATTTGTATAAGTAACATTGGAGAGAGCCATGGTTTGTGAATATGTTTAGGGAAACTAGAAAATACATGAATTCTGATGGCTTAGTGTAATGTATTGTTTTTTCTCTGCTATTTTCCCCCTCAGAAATTAAAAAAGCACAGATTTCCTGTCTGTTTTGTGTGCATTTTTGTATGTATTCTTTAACCAGCCTTTTAGAGGGCTGTGCAGAATAGCGAACAAAAAGAGCTGTGCAAAGTCCTACACTTTGCAGAGGCAATTTTATCCTAAATAGGGGAAAGTATGGGCAATCTCAAGCCCATGCGGCTTTAGCACCAGCCTCGGGGAGAGCCCCTTTGTGGCCTGCATCTTGGCCCCCATACCACAGGACTAAGCAGTTGCTCTTCCCTACTTCTGGGCCTCCACCCTCAGTGATGAGGAGGGCGGGTGCTCCTCCAATTCCTCTTCCTCCTCTGCCGCCACCTTCTTCAAGGGCAAAGTCTTCCTCAGAAATCTGCTTCAGGAAGGTGCACTTGCCCAGCTAGGGAATGTTGAAGTACCTCCCTGAGAAGCATGCCTTCAGGAGGCAACCCACGCTGCTGCCCGGAGAAGAGCAAGAGGGAAGGGAAAGAAAGCCCTAGGGAGTGTGGGCCGCCTCCTGAAGGCGTGCACTTTGGGAAAGTACCCCAACATTCATTGGTCCTGCCAGTGCATTTTCCCAAAGTGGCTTTCTGAGGGGAAACTTGTCCTTGTGACCCCCCCCCCCATGCGCGATCAACCCCCAGGCCTCTGCCCCCCACCCCGTGGCAACCTTTGGCCTGTCCCTGCCCAGCCTAGCCCACAATATGGCCCCTATGTTAAAAAGTTTGCCCATGCCTCTTCTGGATTCTACTTTGTAAAATTAGTGTTTTCAGATATGATTAATGATATCAGAGAGCCTACTAAGATGTAATGTTTCTTTGTCAATGGAAGAATATGCTGGGATTATGGGGAAGTGAAAAATGTCCTAGGGTGCATCTATATTACAGAATTAATGCACTTTTACTTTAACTCACATGACTCAGTGTTATGGAATTGTGGGAGTTGTAGTTTGATGAGGTACTGACACACTTTTTCAGTGAAGGGTATAGACCTTGTCAAGCCTCAGCTCCTGGGACCCCATAGCATTGAGCTATGACAGGTGAAATGGTGTCAAACTGTATTAATTCATCAGTTTGGATGTAAACCTAATTCTGTCCTTTGTTGCACCTGCCAAGATTTTTCATTGGGTATTCATTGATTTAAAATGTTACTCGGTGGAAACAAGCTAATATGAAGTAAGCAGGAAAATGCTATATTTGCCTGTTAGTTTAAACATTTATCTGTATAGACTAGTGTATGGTGGTGGAACAGAAATGTTTTAATTGGGAAAACCTATTTTAATAATTGATGTATATATTTTTCTTTTTAATAGGCAAACTTTTAATTGCTTTTAATTCTGTTGATTTCTGTTTTAACTTCTATATGATGTGGTTATTTTAACTTACCAGGATTGGGTGCGGGGAGGTAGAATATAAATAAAGTAATAACTGTAATAATAGTTTTTACTGTTTTGCCTTAATTTCATAGAATTGTTCCCTTCTTACAAAGTTCCTGACCAGGAAAGTGTTATTGGTGTCAGTTTCATTTTCAGTATCTTTATAATTACCATGCATGTACGTACAAATCATTGCTAACTGAGAGCAGGTGGAATGGGCACCACCGTGTTACAGTTATTTAAGTATACCACAAAAATAGAACACCACAAATGGAAAACCCCAATGATATCCAGTCCTGGAAGAAGTCAGTATGAAATTGCTCATTGAAACACTTGTTTCTTTGTCTTTGTCTTTCAGAGCCATGGTGTCATGGAAAGGGATTTACTTTGTACTTGCACTGTTCTTGGGAAGTTTTTTTGGAAGCATTTTCATGCTTGCTCCCCTCCTACCATTGATGTTCGTCTCCCCAGCTTGGTATCGTTGGATCACTGATCGTGTTGTGGCAACCTGGCTTACACTTCCAGTAGTAAGTCACTTGTATATTTATCAGATCATTTGTTTGTTTGTTTTTACATTAAAATGCAGTTGCTTGTCAAACAGTGAAACCCACTACTTTGCCATATATGGAATTAGCTTTTGGAAATATCATGGATGGAAATGTGGAAAATATATTGAACATGCAATATATATTTTCAAAATAGTTGTTGTATGGTAAAGGTTTAAAGGAAGTTTTAAGTGTAGCAGTTTTCCTTACAAGTCAGCGGTAACTGAAATACAATGGAACTTTCAGAATAGCTAGATGACCTGCTCTTAACTTTGATCAGTAACAACATGCCTGTACTGCAGTTAGCTGAGTCATCCATTCATTAATGCTTTATGCTTTTTATATACCGTCGTTTCTTTTACACAGGGAACTAAAAGCCCTTCATAGAGATAAGTGACATTGCAGGTGATTGGAGGAAGTAGAGTCTGACTTCTTTCCTTCTTCTTTGTCTCTCCTAATTATAATGCTGTTTTATATTCCTGCATATTGTGGTTTAGAATGCAATGAAAAAGTTCACTTTCGCTATTGGATAATTTATGGGGAACATGGTTTACAGATTTCCTGTATGTTTTCATTGTTTGACAGAACAAGGTTGGTTCTCTTTTTCTTCATTTTTCTACATTTTTAACATACACCTATTATTTATATTACAATCCTAGCCTCCTCATTTTTCTCCAGGAGGGTTAGGATGATGTATGCATGGTTACCTCCTCTTATCATAATAGCCCTTTGGTCACTTAGGCTGATAGAAAGACGTTTGCTTTTGGATCACGTTAATCTTCTAAATATCCTAGGGCCTTGGCACTATTCATTTACATAGCAATTTTAATGAATTTTCTCAAAAGATCTAACAGTAAGTCCTTGGAAGAGAAAGGTCAGTGCTAGTGAAAAGCATAAAGTGAATGATGCTTCATGAATTTTACAAGACTCTTCCAAAAGGTTTATAAGGGTGAAAGTTTCACTTCATACACTTGCAGATTTTGCTTTATGTTGGCTGGGGAAACAGTGCTTTCAGTACAAATAACAATGAAAAGAAGGATTTAGATGTTCACTATCTTAGAGGATAAAGGTAACCACTTCGAATTAATTTTTTTCCTGGTACTTTTTGTTGTAGCAAAATGTCTTGATTTGGTTTTGTGTCGTTTATACCAGAGAATGCCTACTCTGATCTTCTTTGCTTCGCAATTCTCTATAATAATCATTTGGTCCTGTATGGATAGGCAACATGTCACCACTTTATTTATTTATTTTAAAATGCATTTATGGAAAGAATCTTCATATTCATTTTTGTAGTATGAACCTATGCCAAGCTTCTAAGAGATGTTGAAATACTGTTCTCTTAGAAATTTTGTGTAACATCATGTGCATTGCCTTTTTGTACCTATACAAAACAAACAAACTAAACTGGGATATGTCTGCTGGAAATAGCAACCTTCTACAAGCCTCCTATACTAGTTATTTGTTATGTATATAATTGAGATTGCTTGCTATATTGTGTGTATTTTCCTTAACTCTATGTTGTTAGAGGTTGTGGGAGGGACTACAGACCATGTGACCCTGATCTTAGAATGTTCAAAGTGAGATTTCATTCGAGAATTTGTTTGAATCAGAAGTCAGTTGGAGACAGTTAAATAACTTAAAAGTTAATGGAAGTTTGAGTCAGTTTGAGTACAGAAGTCGGTTAGAAGTTTGAAGTCAGTTGAGTCAGTTGATGTCAGAGTAGCGGTATAGTCAGTAATCTGCAGTGAAATGTTAATTAGAGTATGAGTGTTTGCCTCAGAAGTATAGTACAGTATAGTACAGTGGAAATACAGATGATATATTGTTTAGTTAACATGAAACCAAAAAGCAATGTATCTGCATTCTAAATACATAAAGTTTGTAAGTAAATCAACTATGTTAACTTAATGAAGACTACTTATTTTTTTTGGTCTCTTGAGATCATGATTTGAAAGCAATATAATTTATGGAAGAGTAGATGTTTTTTGGGCAGCTGAAATAACACTTCTGAAGATCTGCTATATATTTTGTGTGTTGGCATATATTTGTTCCTAATAGTTCAAAAAGATAACTATATATATTTGTCTAACAGCTGAGAAGCCCAGTTGGTCTTGCATGAATACTAGTGGTTACCACTAAGGAGAAAATTATCTCAAGCGAGTTTTTAACTCTTCTCAGGAAGATCATACTTTACAAAAGGTTGCAATCTCTAACAAGGCCATGCCTTTCCAAAAAGTTATGATTATTCCAAATAGTGTGAATGCTAATTAATCTCCAAAAGGGTCACACTTCTAAAAGCCTGTGGAGATCCCTGGTTTTTCCCAATAGTCTCAAATGTACTTAAATGAGGCCTGGTTATAAAGTACAGGACATTCCGTTTTTATACCAAATCTCTGTCACTCTTCTGAGGCAGTAAATTTGTCTGAAGCATGGCTGATGCTTTTCATTTATTACATTTAATCCATTTACAGGATGGTTACCATATAATCATATATCCTTTCTCCTAGGCTTTGCTAGAGATTGTGTTTGGAGCAAAAGTGGTTATAACGGGTGATGGATTTATCCCAGGAGAAAGAAGTGTAATTATCATGAACCATCGAACACGAATGGATTGGATGTTCTTATGGAATTGCCTACTAAGATACAGCTACCTCAGACTTGAAAAAATATGTCTCAAATCTAGTCTCAAAGGCATTCCAGGATTTGGTAAGTCATTGACTTAAAAATCATTTGTGTTGTATATACAGAGTGCTTCAAAAAGATAGAACCAATTTTAAATTGCCATATCTTCAACCAAGAACCGCCCATGAATAGTATTTTTTTATGTAATTGTAATATGCTACCATTGTGAAATATGCTGATTTATAGTTGTGTCCATCATTTTGAAACAACCTGTAATCATGTGTCTATTTATAATAAAATAAATATGAAACATATATACAATATATTGTATACAGTTAAAATATTTGCTGTCTTATGTTGCATTTTAGAACACTTTGTGGTACTATTTGAAGAGAAAGAATTTCCAGAATGATAGATGAATTCCTCTAATCTTTAAGCACGTTTTCTCATCAGCAAATATTAAAGTAATTTCTGTATGAAATCTGTCATAAGATGACTTTTCAGATTTGATGCAGATTTCTGAGGTTTTATTTATGTAGCCAAGTTATGTCCTACCCAAACCTATCTCATCCAGCAGTCTTCATACTGTATTGGCTAACTTAAATGCATTTGAGAAGCCCCCTTAGCAGGAAATGAAAGCAGTGCCTCTCTATTTCTTTTATATAGGTCTTTAAGCTTGGAGGTAGCAAGTTGTTTTATGAGCAGTAATACCCATAATTAATTGAGTCTAGTGCGCCATCAAAAATCTAATGTGCACCTCAAGTTCCAAAACCCTGAAATGAAAAAAAGTATTTGTAGCAAATGTAATGTGCAGCTGCAAATAATAATAATAATAATAATAATAATAATAATAATAATAATAACTTTATTTTTATATCCTGCCAACCACCTCCCCTAGGGAGGCTAAAAAATCACTCTCTGCCCTATATCCCAGAATATAAAGGCAGAAAATTCCACATTATCTGCTTTGAACTGGGTTATCTGAGTCCAGTCTCAGATAATGTGGGATTTTCTGCCTTGATATTGTGGAATATAGGGCTGTGTGGAAGAGTAATTTGGCCAAAAGTGCTCATTGCACTTGCTGCCTGCTTAGCATTCCTTCTTTAAAAACAAAAGTGTTAAATCACCAAAGAATAGAAAGGGAAACCTTGTGGTGCATCTGTGCTGTGGAATGAATGCACTTCTGCTGCCTTGGTTCAATAATATGGAATCATGAGGGCTGTGGTTTGACAAGGCCGTGAGCCTTCTCTGCCAAAGAATGCCGATGACTCACCAAACTACAAATCCCAGGATTGCACAGCATTGAGCCATGGCAAATAAATGAGAGGTGATGTCCCTCAAAGTGGACTTCCAGCTCTTAAAGCAGCTTCCCCTTTGGCTTTGGCTCAGCACTTGAAATTATTGTATCGTGTGAACCTAATGTGGACCCCAAATTTGGAGAGGTCATTTAGCCAAAAAAAAAAAAAAAGGGGAGGAGGAGGGGGCGGGTGAGCATTAGATTTGGGTAAATACAGTAATTAAATAGCTGAATGTTGTTTAATCTGTTGTGTAAAGATTCTCAAGGAAACCTTTTCACTCTTTCTCTGGGTTCGGTATATAAGTAGTTGTATTTGATAGGAGAGCTAGCATATTATAGTGCTTTGGGCATTAATATAGGATTCGAAAAACAATGATGAAATCTACATTTGGTCATGAAAGTCTACTGGATGACTTTGTATAAGTCACACTTTCTCAGTCCAAGAGAAAGCAAAGACAATCCCCCTCTGAACAAATATCTTTAAGAACCCCTGTGATAGGTTTGGGGTTGCTGTAAGTTAAGAAATGACTTGAAGGCACACAGCAACAGTATTTGATATAATAGGGGGGAGGGGGAATGGGTTATACCATATTTAAATTAATCATTCATTACATTTAAGAGAGAAAATAGACTTGTGTGTGCCCTATGGCCTTTAGGAAAACCACAGTAGAAATACTGGAGCCTGTCTGCTTCGGGAGAAGCAGGAGGGTTGTACACAGCCATGAACTTAGTTCTTGGCTTTAATAGCAATAGTTTATTAAGCTGACATTATTGCATCTGAACCAGCCAAAAGTGTACTATTTTGTTTTTCTTTTACAGTTGCCAAGGGACAAAAGCTACACTAGGATACTAAATAGATAATATTTTTAAATGTAACAAAGATACTGTCAACCACAAGTTACATGACACAATTCTGAAGGCAATGTTGTTTTTTCCATTCTCTCCAATAACCTTAAAAACAGTTACTAAAAATGTATAATTAGAACATATCTTAGTTTTATGAGGAAATAAATGAGTATTCTGTGTTGAAATTTCTTGATAAAAAAAGATTAGCTCCTAATCTGATGTACTCAGAGACATTCAGGAAATAAAGGCTTTGGCCTTCAACCATTTGTATTTCTTAGCACCTGCTCCTCAGTGACATATTAAAATGGAAGACTGAAAGCTGATCTAGATAGACCTTTGTTCTGATGTAACAGAGTTCTTTGCTTACTTTCATGTTAACTGATTGGTTGGTATTTTAACTATATAAATTATAATCCATTAAGCATTATAATTCAGTACCTTGAATTTATGTGGTTCCCTTGTTGGTACACTGCTTTTAAAAGTGAGAGGATTTGAAATGTAGTTTCTGTGTTATTTCCTGCACAGAAAACCTGCTGTTCATCAAAAACAAAATGATAGCTACATTCAGAGAGCTTCACTTGTAGGTGTATTGTGCTCTTGTTTTTCCTTTCAAAGGCACACTTTATTATGCCCTGCCATAGCCTGCTTTTGAAAATCCTGTCAAGAAGAAATACATTCCCAGTGATGCTTGCATTGAACCTTGTCAGAAGGTATCTCTGGGGTTCTTCAACTAGATTTTGTAGGTCATAACCAAATGTTTAATTAAGAACAAAATATTGGGCAGTAAAATGATAGTTAGAACTCAGTGATGTGGTTTGGAATCAGTGTTACATATTAAACCATGTAAATTTTAAAATCATGGAAGGAGAATGTTTTTGTTTTGACTGTGTTTATTTATTAACAATGGCACTCGGAATGAAATATGTAATTAATTTCATCCAATGCAATACTGTAGTTTATATTTCAAGACATCGTGATACGGTATCTTTCAGATGTTTATAAGTACACACCAAAATAAAAGTTATAGAGCCTAGCCTTTAGCCAGTTAGGACTTCTAGGAAGAAAATTTACTCTTGTTGTGTATAGGATGCTGCTGGAGTATTTTCTGCAAACATATATAAAATGTATTATAATGGATTTGTATTCTATCAAGTCAGAAATTAATATGATTGGATTCAGATTTTGTTATTCATATAGTATACCCATTGGAAACAACAGAACTTAGAAATGGAACATTTGCAAATACAAGTAATGTTAATCTTCTTTCATAGGTATAAACACACAAACACACAAATATGTTATATTTCAAACACAATTTCTTTAAAATTTATGTAATAAAATCCGTATATGAACATTTATTGGGCTAAATCAAACATGTCACATCAGATGACATAATAACATGTTATCTCTTTAAACAAAAAGATGCTGGCCCTTTACATTTATCCCTTATACTTATATCCAGGCCTGTAGCCGGGGGCAGGGGGGATTAGGGGTTCAACCCCCCCCCCTTGAAAATTTTCAGTTTTTCAAAAAAATTGGTTTACTCATGGATTTTAACTGGTTAACCAAATCCCCATGCTATGAGATTGCACCTGCAGAAAAACCATCAAATGCACTGGAAGCATATCTTATATTGTCTGTGATGGACAGTTTTTTCCGAATCTGAAGAAACTTCTTCAGAGTTCTGCAACATTGCCAGTGTCAACAGCTACAAATGAAAGGTCGTTTTCAACTCTTAAACGTTTGAAAACATACACAAAAAGCACATTGAGGCAAGAAAGACTGACTGGACTTGCACTCTTGAGTGTCCACTAAAGTTTATCAATAGAGCCTGATTTCTGTCAAAGTGTATTGACACAGTTTTCAAGTGTTTCTAACAAACGTTGTGGTATTCTTTTGTAACTATAAATTATCATTTAGCAATCATTTTCAGTTATTTTAAGACTTGAAACTTTAACTAAAATAGAAATTTGATTTAATGAAGTCTATATAAAATATACTTGAAACCATATAATTTAAAGTATTTTATGTTATGGCACGATGAAACATGCCTGTTACCCTTTGTAGTCTTTTACCTAGGTCATTGCTATCTTAAATGCTGGTTATAAGTTTTAATCCTTGTTTTATCAGTTTTATCTGCTGTTAATTCCACCCACATCATGTGTTTTAATCAGTTTTGGCTATTTTTGGCCTTACTAACCTTGCATACCTTGTATCTTATACCTTTTACGGAGCTATAAGGGTCTTTTGGACTGTATTAAAAATGTTGTTGTTGCGTTATCGAACTACTCCTCATGATTTGCTAAAAAAAGTTTCAACCCTCCCCGAATTTTTTTTCTGGCTACGGCCCTGCTTATATCTTACATAAGGTTTTCTCCCAAATCTTAGCCATTGTATCAAAAATACTTGAGATAATTAGTTCATTCCATAATCCATGTCCTTTCTGTTGTGCACTCTTCTTCAGCTCCCTGGGGAAAATGTCCCACATCTCCATTTTTCTCCCCATTTGCTATTTTTCTACTCTCTGAGATCATCCTGACATAAAGATCTTGATAACATTCTCCAAAACCATTAAGTCCTTTGATTTCAGCAGGATGCTGTGATCTGTCCCCACCCCCGACACACATACACAGATTGCCACACTGTGTAGACCTGTTTCTCCAAAAGTACCCTTCCAATTTGTTAAAGCAACATTTGTTTCAACCCCTCTTTCAGCAATTCCATTTCCTTAAGTATATATTTCTTCAATTTTTTCTTGGTCATCTGGACAGTAATGTAATCTTCCTCCACATAACACTTACTCATTTGTTTAAGCATTGTCACCTTTAATATAGTAGGAGCCCCCGGTGGCACAATGGGTTAATCCTTGTGCTGGAGGGACTGCTTACTGACAGGTCAGCGGTTTCAATCTGGGGAGAGCAGTTTGAGCTCCCTCTGCCAG